CCCGCTCCAGCCTCCAGCAGCTGGAATTCTTTGCTCATTCCTATCTCTTCCTCCTAGAGATACAAGCTATTTGTGCCAAGTTCAGCAGCAGTGGAGACTTGTAGCAGGTCACTTTTGTTTGCATCTTGAAGGTGAAAAGAATGCATATGTTTACATTCCTCTGCAGATGATGGGTAGTTTGGAGCTCTGTTTTAATATGTTCTAATTTAGCTTAGTACTATCTATTGAGTTTCAGATTCTGGTTTTCATGCCAGGCTAGAAGGTGTTGGAAGCAAAAGGCCTGTGTGGACAAGTTCTCCTTTTGTTTAAGAGAGTTTTATCCAGTAGGAAGGTTTTATCCTGTGATTATCAGAATGACATTAACTTGTGTAAGACCTTGTGTTTAGGGGAGGTACTTGAGAGAGTTAATGCAGTTGCATTGATGTCTGAAGTATGGACTGGGCTATGTATATTACTTTTCCACCACATCTGCCAGCCACACTGGCACTGCTCCATGTGTTTGAGATTATCCCAAGCTCTGTGGCACAAGTCTAGATGACGCATCAGTGCAGTTTCAGTGTTTACATCCCTTCTCTGGCACCTGGGACAGACTGTGATGCTCCTGCCCCTAGCAGGGTTGCTGAAGTGTTTGGAATTGCCTTTTCCCAGCTTCTGTTTGGCTGGTGTCTTTCTGTGAGCGGGACTGCAAAGGGGCTGCCAGGTCATGAGCAGGCTTCTGCGGTTGTTTCTCACTCAGCTGAACATGCAGAGCCCAGAGGAATGCTGTTTCATGCCCTTCCTGCTCTTGACATCCCAGCCTATCTCTGCACCCTATATTGCAAGGTCAACTGCCCTGCGAGTTTGTGTTCCTTCTGCATTCACACCATGGTTCACCACTTTATCAAAAATAAGATGTAGGAAGAGCTGACCTGTGAGGGTGAGCACCATTGGTGTATGCCAGGTTCAGTGTTGACATTTGCCTTGATTTGAGGATTCTGTCAAATGTGGAGAAACAGGAATTAGCTGCCATGCAGTAATGCTGTGCTGGCTTCCCAGTGGTTACGAGACTGTAGCTCAGTGTGTCTGTGAGGTGTTAGGTTTGTGGGTCTGCACTGCTGTGCCTTGTAGAGTCCGTGTGCTGAGCCATGGACAGCAGTAGGCCCTTCAATTCAGTTAGTTTATGCAGCTTCACCTCTTGTCAAGTCAGGTGTTATGGATTTGCAGTGAAATTAGTTGGTTTTAGGGGATCTTACACATCAACTCCAGCTCTTGACTGCACCTGGGGCTGTGTCAGCACTTCTGCTTTTGACTTGCTGTCCTGCACTGGTTTTATGTGTGAAAAGCTTATGAAACTAAGTCAGCCTTGTGAGCAGAGATGGTGAAACATAGTTGCATATTATTTGGTTTTTTTTGTTTCTAAGGAATACTGAAAAGTTACATTTTCTGAGTTTTTATTCTCCTGCATGTTGAAGAGTTGCTGTACGTCCTCTTGAGAGGATAAGAAATGTTGCATATTGTGTTCTTCTTTAAATTTGTGTTGAGATCTCCTTGCTATCAGGAACAGAATTTGCTTATCGTCTACATAACCTTGGTTGATGAGGTGCCTGTACTGGGGAACTGTGGCTGAACCAGAGAGGTGTGGGAGTCACTTGAGAAACTGCAGTGACTTTGTAACTTAGGTTAAACTTTTTGGATCAGCTCTGGTATAAGGAATTTGCATGGTGTAATTTGGCTTCCTAGCTGATTTAGCTTAACCAGTGCAAGAGGTTCAGTGAATATTCTTCTTGTGTCAGAATAGCTTAATTTGGGTCAGGTAAACAAATAGAACTGGTGTGTTTTTGTGAAAAGGAGCAGTGTGTTACTTTTCCCTTGTTTTATGAAAATAATTGAAAATAGTATCTTTGGTTGGACCCTGGTAAATCTGCAAATTACCTAAATTTAGTCTATTAATTACCTGTTCACTGCATGCCTCACACCATGAGAAATCATGCTTTATTTATGTGCAAAGTATTTAAAAACAACAATGCTTTCAGCTTGCTTTGCATGGTGGAAATGAATACAGAAATACAGCAGGAGTTGATGGAGACTTTATGTCAGACTTTGAAGACGTAAACCGAGTGTGGTCTTTCCTAATAAGTGCAAATGATAATCTGTTAATAGTATAATAATGATTTCAGTACTCAATTAAAGTTGGGTGAAATAAAAGCACTTCCTTATGGATACACGCACATTACTGTTGAGTAAGTTGAGAGTGTGAAGTTTAATAGCATTCAGGATGGCTGCTGCATTAGCTGTGCACCCATTTTCCTTGAAATAGGACCAAAGCTGATCTTCCCTACCTAATGAGGGAGGTGATGCTGAGTGTTCAGGTTGGACAGTTACTGTGCAGCACGTGATACACTGTAGCTTATGCCGCGGTTTGCCTTGCTGCAATTTGTATCTCAGCTTCTGCCATGAAAGAAATTTGGAAAACATACTGAAGATACTTTTTGTATATATAAATGCTTCATGATCTCTTGTGATGCCTATCTGATGTGACGAACTTCTAAATTTGACAGAAGTGTCTTGACAGTTTGGGCCCAGAGCTCTGAATAACAAAACAAGAAAACATCTGGTCTGAGTTGGTAATTTAGAAACACAAGAAAACTAATAGTTGCATAACCACTAATATATAATAATATGTCCAGTGAGCTCAAATAAGTACCAAAATGTAGAGATGTTTGACTGTTGTCTTGTACTGGGCCACCTACCTATGCGGCTGAGGCTGCATTTGAGTTACTTGCTCTAATGCTTGTCTAAACGCAACTCATGCTTTATGCACCTCTTTATTAAGTGCTAATGCTCTGTTTGCTGGTATGTGCTGTGGTTTGTTTATGACTGAAAATACGTTTTTGAGTGACAGAGCGAAGTTCCTGTTCATTTCAGAGGGCATTGCCCTAATTGCAGGTTTAAAGTAAGCTGAAGCTGCCAGGGAAGCAATTACTTTGGTCTTGAAAGAAAAGGTGATGTTACTGTTGAAGCAGCAGGGTAGAAGTAGGTTAAAATTAATGTGCCATCTTTGTCTTTTTGCAGCTTGCAAATAACTTAATTTTAAGCTGCAGGTCTGCATAAATGTAGCTCTTGTCTTGTGAACAAGTGGAACAGATGTTGGGTGCTCTTGGACTGGGGGCATGTTTTTGTGTATTTGGTTAGTTGGAGCCTCTTTTATTTGTACCATAGAAATTCCAGCAATTGCAAGTTAAGAGCATGTTTGGAAATTGAACCCATGTTTTAACTACACAGCTGAGTGAAGATGTGGAGCGAGTATCTGAAAACCTGACAGATGAGAGAGGAGGAGAGATGGAAGTTCATGAAGATGCCAGCTCTGTTATTTTACCAGGTGAGAACTATTGACCCAGAAATCACCAGTTTTAAGTGCCTGATAAGGTGCTTCTGTGTGTGGTTTGGTTTGCAGCCAAACTGTGCTATTATAGTTGAAGGTCAGAGCATGGCATGACCTGAGAGAGCCCAACTCACTTGATTAAACCACACAGAAAAGTCAGCATAAAATACTGGGTTTTAATGCACCTTATGTGTGTCCAGCTACATACCGCTCATGATCAAAACATGATGTATAACTCAAGAGTCCGTGAACTTTTTCCTTACAAGTATTGCCAAAAGAAATGGTGAATGCAAGGAGTGTGGGGAAAGCAGTGTCTGTGCACAAGTGAGGCTGCTGTGAAGATCTTCAGAGAATAAGCCTTGAAGGCAAGGGCAATTGGGTTGGTCTTTTTCTACCTGTAACTGGAAGAATTATTTTGTGAAACTTCATGTAGAGTACACAAGGAGTTATGAGCTGGAGTCCAAAAATGAGAGGGTAACGAATATGTAATGACTTCTGCCATGGTGGGGATGCAATGGAGATAGCTGTGTAAGAACATTAGGTTATTAAATCTCTCTGCTGACACATAGGCTGGGTGCCTAAGAATCTCTTCAGGCTACTGGGAAGGGGAAAAGGAGTTGTTTTTTCTAGGAGGAAAGATTAACTATCAGCAGAATTCTTTTCTTGTGAACTTTGAGCTTTGTTTCCGACTTGTCCTTCTTGAAAATAAACCTTGTTTCCTGCCTGCCATGTCCTTAAGCAGAATTCAGGTTCAACATGTGAAAAAGAGGCACAATCTTTGGATGATTGCGCCTTACGCTTGAGAGGGACACGTCTGTCTGACTGATCATCAAAACCACCAATAGTTGTGGGTTTGGGTTTGGTTTTTTTATCAAGCTGAGTTTGAGGCTTACTTTCCTCTCAAGGGATTAATCTTTAAATGAACACTACAGAAATTCAGCCCAAATATCTGTATTTTAAAGTCATAATCCATATTCTGCTTGGTTCCAGATAGTGAATTGGGCACCACTACCCCTTCTTTGCGTTTCAGCAAGACCTGCCTGAAGAATGTTTTTTCAGTAATTCTCCTGTTTATTTATCTGCTGCTCATGGCTGTAGCTGTGTTCCTTGTTTACCAAACCATCAGTGACTTCAGGGAGAAGCTCAAGCACCCAGTGATGTCTGTCTCTTACAAGGAAGTGTCCTTGTATGATGCACCTGGTAAGGCTGGTAACAAGCAATAGGGGTTAAGCTGTTGTTCACATTTATCTCAGCATGTCTTACATTTTTGGTGTTGATTTTCCAGGGCCCAGAGTGCCTATGGTGCTTTGACACAGGTCTTTCACTTGCTCTTTTTTAATGTATGTTGCATTGGCTTTGAATGGAAATGTTAATATTGTATGGGAGATTCTGGGGAAGATTTGTAGAGCTTTCATGCCAGTAACGCGAATGACAGTAGCTGTGGAGTATCATGCAACGTTCTGTAGGTAAGAAGTGTTTGCGGACTCCTGAATGGACCCTCTTTTAGGGAAGGAAGGTAATTCCTTTTGGAAATATTCCTAAAACTGTTGTTCAGAAAGGTAGCACATAGGGCATGTATCAGGACCTCAGTGCAACACTGGACAGCAAGGGGCCATTGACAGTAAAGAAGGTGAATTTCTCAAACCAACCACAAAATAACCATAGCGCCACTTTCTGCTGCTGTTTTACAGTTTGCAACTCGGTGTGACATCAGTAGGCAATGAAAATGTGATGTGACTGCAGGGAACAATGTTGGCATAAAAATGCAGTGTGGTGTTGGGAAGCTGTCTTGCAGTTTGCAGGAGGGATTACTCCACAGAAGCATTTTTGAATAGTGATTTCTATCATTATTATTTTTAATTATCCAGTTGTCGTGGTTTAGGGCTGGGCCGGCCACTAAATCCTGGACAGACGCTCTCTGTTAACCCCTCTCCCCTCCCCAGAAGGGAAGAGAAAAGAGAATAAGGGAGAGAGACTTTACAGGTTGGAAAATAAACTAACAGATTTAATGAAACAGTAATACTAATACTACAGAATAATATTGTAAATATGAAAATAATGAAATATATACAAATAAGTACAAAGCGGCAGACGAACGAGCAGGATTCTGCTCAGGCCTCGGCCTCTGCAGGATCGAGACGGATGGAAGGGTCGAGATGGAAGGAACGGTGGAAAACAAGGCAAAAGGGCGAAAAAAAACCAAAACAGCGGAGACCCTCGTGATCTCTCGGTTTTATACCGAGTATGACGTATCTGGGATGGAATACCTCGTTGGTCAGTTTTGGGTCTCCTTCTCCCCCTGTAGGCGCAGACACAGCACCCAGGATGAGACAACTGACCTTGAGCATATCTTCTACCAGCGCTGTTTGGGAAAACATGCTGCCAGTTTTTCAGCAAGTTCAGTCACTTAAAAGAGACTGAGCTGAAAAGTAAAATCACTAAATAGAAAATTAGTTCTATTTAGCTCAAACCAGGACACCAGTAACCAGTCATAAATAAAGCTGCGGAAGCAAATGCAGCTCTAACAGTCGTATGTCTGTTTCCAATTTAACACTTTTGTTTGAAGTGTTACCACATTTTACAAATAACCACTCCAGTAATTGTGGCTGAAAGGGGAGTGCTTCAAGTTGTTGCCATATTTGTTTTTCTGTATGGTCAGTTAGGCTCAGAGAGCTCTGTAAGTAGGTTCTTTGTTTGGACTGTATGGATCTGACTGTAAGAGCAGGCTTTCTTTTTTCTTTTTTAAATGAGCTTTTCATACAGCAACAGGAAGAAAATGTCATTTAAAGAAGCAGAACAACATACCTATAATCCAATATTGTCGGGGATCCCTGCCAGATCAGAGAACCTAAATTAATGTAGCGCTTTACTTCATTAGTCTGTTAAAGTGATGAGATGGCACTTTGCAATCATGGAGCGCTGAAGAAAGAGATAAAGCATTTTTAGACCGATAGATGCTGACTGCTTTGACATCTTGTATTTTGGCAGACAGGTCATCTCAGTTGCATGAGTTAATCATATCTAATTACTCAAATAATTCTTTTTTTTTTTTGGTGGTTGGTCTAAATTATCTTCAAGCAAGCTTGTTTCCAATAATAAATGTGGTATATGTGGCATAATGGGATCTTTTGTTTAGCTAGCTGAGGTGACTGAGGTTCTTTTAATGCATGCTGTTGGTCTGAAATGGTAGGTTTATGGTATATATGAATTTCTATACAGGTGAAGTAGTAGCCTGCCTACCCAGTGATATGAGTAATAAGGGATAGTAACAGTACTTGTTTGATGGCTTTGATTTTTATCATGACATTGTGTATTCAGTGAACAGAAGATGCTTGAAGTTCTGAAGAGCATCTTTTCACTGTTATTAGCTCAGCCAGTCATCTTTGACCTGTCATGTATAGTACATACATTATTTCCAATTAAAATCTGACATGTTAAATGAAACATCTGAAAACATGTACATGCTAAAGTGCTCCATGTCCCATTTGACTTCAGTAGTCTCCTAACTTACTTTACATGCTCATTTTGTTTGGGATGAGAGGGGCCGAGGTATTAGCTGCTGTCTTGTGGGAAGATTAGAGAAACTTAGTAGTGCCTGTGAACCTTGAATTGTTGTAACAGAATATGAAACCTGATTTTTTTCAACACATTGCGAGAGTTATGTCCTGATGCAACTGACACTTCTGTCCTCCTCCAGAAAAATACTGAAGTGCATGGTTTAATTTGATTGTTTTGCTGGATCTTGCGGATAGCTCAGTATCCTCTGAGATTAAATCTCAGAATGAAAAGTCTATGTACTTGGGAAAGAAATCAGCTCTCTTCAATGTTTTTTTCTCCCAAAACAGGTATTGCCTTTTACCCAGGCGAGGCTCAGCTGCTTAGCTGCAAGCATCATTACTATGATCACATTCTGCCTCTGATAAATCCAGGTCAGCCAGGAGACATTGAATGCACCACTCAGCGAATCAACTACACAGATCCTTTTACTAATCAAACTATGGTAATAATAACATAATAGAACAAAGCTTGTTCAGTCAGGGTTCTCTGCTTGTAATGGTATTTGAAAGTACAAATATTTACTAAATGCTGCAAAAAAACTTTGCTTCTAGTTTTTTTCAAGCCATCTGTCCTTTTGTTTTCAGAAATGTAGAAGACCCCACTCAGTGTGTGTATGTATTATGGATGATCAGCTGTTGTGTGGGTGTGCGCAGCATGAAAACCTGAATGGGACAAAATAAGTCATTTTTCACAATGAAACTCTCGCTTCATTCCTCTCCTAAATGAACTGGCAAGCATACTCCTTGATATAGTAAATCTAGCTTTGATTGAAAGCAGTAGCAGTAATTCCATTAAAGCAGGATAGCTTGTCTCTTTTTGTGTGTTTGCTGGAAGTTACATACTGTTTTTTGTCACATCACACTGAAATGCTGTGAGCCATTAATATGGGTACATTGAGTGATAGTCTGTCTTAGATTGCCCTTAAAAATGCAGGGAATCTGACTTCTGTATTGAATCTGTATTTAATATTTCTGTATTGAATCTGTATTTAATATTTCTGTATTGAATCTGTATTTAATATTTCTGTATTGAAAATAATTTCTCAAAAAATGAAGTATCAAATATGGTCATTTTTATCTAAAGTGATTGCTCAGATTGTTTTTAAGGATACTGAATGTGAACAAACAGTCTAGGTACCCATCTGGTCAACTTTTTTCCTCTTCATGTTCTGCCTTCTGTTTAGTCACCATTTCTTTATGGGAAGCAGCTCCTTGGTATATTTGAAAGTAATATTCTAGGTGTAAGTCTGATTTAATTTCTGCCACTAATATGCTCTTTTTGCATGTTTTAACAAACTAAAACCCTGCATTTTATGCTGCTTGGTAGATTCATTTAGAAGTTTGCAGATCTAATCGGCTCCGGTTCAG